AAGTGTTTATTCTATAGTCTTTCAGAGTCTTCCGTAAACTTACTAAATTAGATTTTCAGTATCCCAAACCATTAAATTAAAAATTATCATTTCTTTGGTGCCTATACCCAATAACGAGTTTGATCTCCTCTTGTATATTTTTTATTTGAACTTGTTTAAATTTAAATTTAAATACCCAATTGAAACGATTTTAATTAATTTAAATTGTATTTAATATTTAAACAAGTTGAATCTCTTAGATATAAATTTTAAGAAATCTAAAAATAAATTTTTTGAATTGTTTTCTTTATTTGATAGATTTTTGTATATGTAAATTCATCATCCTTTTATCCAAAAGTATCACTAAATGGAAAGAATCTTCTTTTGTAAATCGAATATTCTTTTTATTAATAAGTCACGCTTACATTAACAAAGTACGAACTAAATTCATATTTACTAGTATTGTACACAGTATCATCAGTCACTATCAAGTAGTCCAAATATGAATTCATACCAATAATTATTCAAATTATAAATAACTCGAGATTCTTTTCTTCACAAATAAACAAACAAAGTTGTCGTACACACTATACTAGCATCAGTCTTTACTAAATCTTTTCGAATTGTTCAATATTTAAAACAATGCTTGGTTGAACGTTACGAAACACGTTTTCTTTCAATAAAAACCTAGTGAAATGAGTTTTCAAGGAAGAAAAAAATATTTTTCTTACACTTTGATGATCAATATTAGTCTAACTACCAATCAGACTTATAGAACAGTCTAGCAGCCTAAACATTTAGAAGAATTCGATTTTAATTTTGCGTTTGGAAAGTTTGGGTCATGATTTTCATGTTGAGAAACAGTGCAAGGAACAAAATATTCAAATCCCATTTAGTATAATTTCTAAAATAGTGCCAGAATTAACTTTGCTTAACTCGTACGTTTTGTGCAGATAAATTCCTGCAAGATTCTGTATACAAAACGGATATATTTTGCATCATTTCAAACAAAAACGATGCAAAATGCGTTTGAAAAGGAAACGCGTTTCACATTTCTCCGAATCTGTGTCTCTGGAACGCGTTACTTATCGACCGAAATGCGTTCGACATTATTTTACTTCGGAAACGCTTCGAAACGCAATCTTGGAAAAACGCGTTTCAGATCGTTTCAAAAAACGACAGCAGCAAAACGCATTCTATCGAAGTAAGAATGCTGTGAAACGCGTTCTATATTGAAAAAACGCTGCGAAACGCATCCTGCAATCTCAGAAACGCGTTACGCAGTCCGTTTCCTTGAATATTTTACTCCATGGGATTCATTTTATGGTGATGGAAACAAAGTTTTGCTTCTTCCTGCTCGTCAATTTGAAGTCATTGGATGTGTTAATCAAGGAAATGGTCTCCAAATTATGCAATTGAGCAAAAGAAAACCGATATTTCCGCTTATCATACTTAATGCATCATAAAAACCAGAAAGCATAGCATATGGGTTGCAAATCAATGTTTTTTTTTCTACTTATATATCAAACTTGAAATCATTTAATTATCATTTGTAAGACTAAAGTTATTAAACAACGAGGATGAATCTTAAACGATGTTAAATAAGAAAATATAGATGAACAGTTTTTATTGATTAGCTAGCGAATCGATTGTAGTCTAGACATTACAATAACTCTCTATTATACTACTTATTTCATAATATTTTTAAGATTTATATTAATTGTAAAATTAAAGTTTTATTTAGATTTTTGACCTTTTTTTTTTGGTTGAGATTTAATAGCAAGTGCAAACAATTTTTCTCGTTCTCAAAAGTTTAATTCTTTATTTAAAATTTAAAAGACAAGGTGTAGATATAGAGTAGAATCCGAAACAATTTAAAAAAATTTCAATTTCAATTCTATTCGGTTTATATTGAATAAAAAAAAATATGATGTGATTTTGTATAGTATCCATTTTTCGCAATATTTCTTCCTAACAATGACAGTCGTCTGTCAACTGTATTAGAATCAACAGCAATACCTATGAAATTTTCTTCAAGAGTGTTGCTCGTAGACAAGAACTGTTATTTGCTAAGATTGAAAATCTCTATTACCTTCGCATAGATCTAAGGTTTGGCTCATCACGTGCTGATTCTTCTCATTACCTGCATTAATATTTTGATAGAATTGGCAATCGTACTACTTTTTCATCTTAAGAGATTTTCAATGATGATTCTGATTGCTATCCTTATTTTGAATGGCTTTTGCAATAATTGAATCAGATCTATGTGGTTTATTAATTAATCGAATGCCCATTTCAAACAACAAGGCGAATGGGTATTTTCTTGAATAACTTTGAATAGAAATAAGATAGAGAGTTGCAGCTTCCATCACTAGAAAGAGGAGATCAAGACGCATTGAATCACGTATTATAGGGTTTCTAAGAAAAACGTCGGAAAATTGACTCCTCATCAAATAAGAAAAACGCAAAAAAAAGTGACTTTTTTTGCAGAAATTCATACAAAAATTGGCTCAGAATCTCAATTAATTGATGAACTTCAAATCTCGCACTACGATACTGTTGATAGGCAGTAAATGACTGTAAAAATGATTACTATTTAGTATACAGAGAAAGAATACAATATGAAAGTGCAAAATCGTAGTCATTATATGTATAGATAGCTCTTGATATGTGCTATATTTTTTGTGTAGCATCAACTACGGATTCCGTACTTTGGGTAATGCGAACATTTTGTTTTCAATCATTCATCAAAACTCCAAATATTGTATATTAGGTAATCGAATTAAGATCAGTTTCCTAATTCGATTACACGTATCATGCAAATTTAATGAGAAAAAAATGATGCAGACTGCACTGTACAATTACAGTGAAACAAATTTTGATTTTCTTTAATTTTCACTATAGGGCCTAAAGAGTAAGGTGACAAGCAGTATAAGAACGTAATTTTCTGAGGGTTGCATTGAAAATGTTTATTAACTTATTTGGGATTTCCTTTGGTAAAAATATATTTATTTGTAATCCTTCGATACTCAGAAAAAATACAGATACTGATTCTCCATCGTCTTATAAAAAGTGATAATCATCTGGGCTCAGATCAATGAATAAGGAGTCCGTAACGCCTAATCGGAGTAAGTTTTTACCATGGAGAAAGTGTAAAACTTAGAACTAAAAAAATATTTAAGACAATCAACGTTGCTAACTTTTCGAATTGTTTCTTGTTATTAGAATAATAAACACCAATTTTTGTCATATATGTAAAAGCTAGACTTCTCATTCTATAATTAAACGGTGCTCAACAACTACATTGTATTAAAAAGTATTCAGATATAAATGTTTAACGTATTCAACAACAGATGCTGATGTGAAATGAAAAAATCAAATGCACAAAATAATAAATATAATTGCTTCAGAAAAACATTTCATTTTTAACTCAATAATCTTATTCGAAAACAGAAAATAACTCATGTGACAAAATTCAATGCAGTTAAAATAAGATAACATGAAATGTTTCATATTTTGTGTACTATACTATAATACTACATAATTTCTCTTCATGCATGAAAATGTTTGATAATAACGTCTAAGAATAATGCGGAGATAATTCAGTGATGCTTTGAGTCATTAGAGCGTGATATATTTTTTAATGTCATTCTCTTTGTTCGTCATAAATGAACAATTCTCACATGACCTTCGTTTTTCAATAATTGATCATCGAAAAATATTTTTTTAAAGAATGTATTAAATAACCTCGAAGAATGGATAGAAAGACAATGAACATTATTGTAGTTTAGTCGATGTTTTGAAAAACTGAATCGCCTATTACACTCAGAATATAATGCTCATTTCGATTATACGTTTTGCATTCAGTTTAATGTAAGGTAGATGTTATCGTTTATATTCTTTCATCAGATTGCATGCATTCAGTTTGTCACCAAATAAATAACTTGTTGCTAAAATATTGCTAGATTTTAGAAAACTAGTCGCTGAAGCTTGTGGTAGCCTATCTTCGATTGATATTCGAAATCTGCATGGTTGATTGCATCAAATTCGATGATTTTTTTTTCAAACACGATTTACAAGTTCGTATACATTCCTTGTGAATAAAAGTGTAAATAATAAATGAGCTATTGCACCATGAAAAATTCTTCAGTAAAAATAATTATTATTTTTGATTATGAGCAGTATAATCCTCTTCAATCGAGTCGACAGATTGGCAATCAGTTATAATTAAGTATTTGGATCTGAATCGGATCTTTAGCTACAATCGATTATTATCTTGTTAATCATTCTTCAAGTCTGAAATCAAAATTATTGATTACAAACCGAAAGGATTCAATTGATTTCTTTTGAATACTACAGCTATTTCAGGCGTACAGAAATGTCCTATATACATTATGGATGTTCCTTTTGACATGAATTTATCTTGAAATCTAAAATTAAATAATAAATTAAAATTGACTCAAGCCACCGTAATTGGTTATTACTTATTAAACTGACTGTTAATCGAATTGAACCCTATTTATTAAAATATAATTGTTACATTTCAATTGGTATAAGAATTTTATCTTATTAATGTTAAATGAGTTTACCTTAGTGGTAACTTCATAATTTCACAAAATGAAAAGTAGAAAAAAATTACAAAAAAAATGAGGATTTGGCGACTTTCAATCGATTCGTTGAATTGTCAGGTGAAACTTGCAATGTATCATTATTCGTGAAAAATGAAAAAAAAGATATAGAAATTTAATGCTTGCAAAAAATGACAGAAGAACGTCCATTTTTACCTTTTTTCTTTCGTTCGTCTCAAACTTAAATGTTACGAGGTAAAAGAAACGAAAGGAAAAAAAAGATATGCCTGAATGAGTATGTGCGATGAAAGAACAAAAAATAACGTGTGCATATCATTATATTTCATTCCTTTTTTTGGTTAAAAAAAGAAACGTGAAGTAAAATTTTTCGATTAAGAGTTGTATGTGTAATTCACGCAGGTTAAAACAATGTCTTCGTATTTTATGAAAAGAATGATTGGAAATGAATTTGATAAAGTTATAAAAGATATGAAGGGTATTGATTAACCTCTAGTCATCACTATATTTCTGTCATTTCTTAGATCTAACTACCGGTGAAAATGTCGATAAAGAAAAGGAAGTTTTGGGCATTTCTGGCGAAGATTTGTTTGTAAGTGTAACAGATTTTCTTTTAACAAAAGCTGTACTTTTGAATGTTTCAAATCTTATTTTGCTACGCTACTAGGCTGAGCAAAAGAGACAAACAGCTATGGAAAAAGAACGAAAAGCAAGACAAGCTAAGATGAAAAAAGAACGTGAAGAAGCAAGACAGAAAATTTGTGATAAAGTGAGTAGTGTAGAAGTTTCTGGCATGGCATGTCTCTTCGAAAAAAACCTTTCGTTCTCTGTCTGTTTTCATAGTATAATATCAAGAAGAAAGATGAGCTCTCCACTTTAGCTCACGGTAAAACGACGACGACGACATTGAATGAAAACCAAACAAGAGAAGTGCATCAAGCGTCAAATATAGAAAATCAAGGTAGGTGGTTCAAGAGAGTGAGGGAGTGCATACTACTTCCATAACAATGCTGTTTATAGCACTCTTTCTTTTTGCCCTTCCCTATGTCAGGCATAAGTTAGCGTTCTGTCCTGCCCTGCAGGTGTTAAAGATATACTTTTTATTCAGTAGAAACCTGCGCTCAATTTCCTGCAAATTTTTAATGAAAATATTCGCAAAAGAGTCTTCAAATTTGTTTAGAACAGTTTGAATTTACATGCACTATCCTGTCTTTCAAACAGCTTTGTTGTGCATTATGTGGAGTTAAACGACCTTTTTTCTGCCTCTTTGTTTCCTCTTCTTTTTTTAATTAGGTTTCGATCCAGTGAAAACGACGACAAATGTATTTGATAGTTTAAAGAAAAAACTCGGATGGAAATGACATTTCTTGGTTAATTGTATGACACTCAATCTTATACGTATTTTTTATAAGTGTGATTTTTATTTGCTCGTATCTTTTTTACGCTCAGCTTTTATCGTTTTTCTGTATCCTGTTCCTGTTTTGACTGACTCTTTGAGCTATTCATTTATAAACTGCAGTCTTGTATGTGGTTTTTTCTGGATTGATTTTCGTTCAAATCCTTTAAATGTACTATAAAGATTGATACACAGAAAAGTGAATCGTGTTTGGTGTTCTAATCATCTAAACAAGAGAATCATCCTCAAACGCGTTATATTTCAGTTTGTCTCACCTTTATTTTCATTGCAAAAGGCTGAAATGCTCTAATTCAGTATAAAACGTCATTGCTGAAAAAGTGTTAACTTCCACTTCTATTGATATGAGTTTTGTAGAAAAATTTTTAAAAATTGTTAAAATTTAACAGTTCATCGTCGAAGTCATACAGGTAAAAATTCTTCACATCGATTTATTTCTTAGGTGGAAAAACATATTAATGTGAATTATGTGCATATATATGTGTTCATTGGTTAATATTAACACGTCATATGAAAACTCGTGGGTGTGATGCCCATACAGCATTTCATCGTTGGTATTGTGTGATGTCATTTTCTGCTGGGAGCGCATTAGAAGAACATGCGTCTTTGTGAAAGCAATCAACGAATTGTGGATGTATCTAAATAACAAAAAAACAAATACAATAGAATCAAATAGAAAGTGGATAAATGACACTAAAAATGAATTTTCTATTAATGATAATGATGAAATGATTGTGGATGATTATTCATCATCTGCT